TCAGGAAATAAATATACGAAAATACCTGGGAACAAGTGCATGAACAGAAATATTAACTTTTGAAGGGAAAAAAAAGAAGCTGGCCCTTTTTCATAAGTGAGGAAATGCTAATTATTCAAATCATTATCAAAATGCACTGCACAGTGGAAAATTATAATCTGATCCAGAGAGCTCAAAATTCATTTATATGAATTTAATTACTGAACAAAAATCGCTGCAGAGGGCCTTGCTACATCGAACTTTAACAAGGTAAAAAAAAAATGTAAATTCAGAGAAACCCAAACCTTTACTATTTTATAAATACATACAATGTTCATAATCTACTATTCGTACTTCCATGGATTGTTCCATTAAAAGTTTAAAACATATTCATGAATCTACCTCATTAACGGAAACTTCGAAATTCTAAATTATTACCTAAATCACTTGAAATCACGCAAAAAATAAGAGAAAAAAATCGCTGCGTATTATCCCAAGTCTGAATCATTTTTGAAAAATAATGGTAAAAAATAGAGCAATTGATTAGTTGTGTACACATACACAAAGAGTTAGGGTTTTTATTACTTACTGGTGAGGTGAGAGATCGGCAATTCCTTCTGTTTGGCGAATTTCTGCGTAATTAATTAGGCATTTGAATGATGATATTCAAAGAGAGATTTTGGGATTTTGATTTGAAAGGAGAAAATTTGTAGTTGGAATAATGCTGGGTGTACAGTTAGTAAATGCCAGAAACTGTACAGAAAATTAAAAAACTCACGTGAAAGGGGCGTGCCTGGCTGAAACGCGATATGTTAGACAAAATGGAGGGATTTGGCATTCATTTGCACCCTTTGCTTCCTTCTTCCTTCTTCCTTCGACCCCGCCCTTTTCTTTCGAAGTGAGTTGCTTTCGCGTTCGCCGTTGTCTTCCTAATCGATCTTGTACCCTGGCTGAAAACAAGGATTCCTAGTGACTGAGCTCAAGATTGAGCTGCGAGGACAGAGCTGTGACTGAGCTCAATGCCAAGCTGCGAGGACGGAGCTGATTCACAAAACGGTAAATGCTATGAAAAATCAAACTCTTCGTTACAGTTATGGACTAGCATTGAACTCCAAAATACAAAATCAGTACACAAAATTACATGAAATGAGTGTTGAATATTTTTCAGTTTCAGATCTGTGAGATCTGAGGCCCGTCCATTTGGCACATTTTCGCAAAGAAAGGGCCTGCTAGCTAGTCAAAATTATCCATTTTTGTAGTTCGTGAAAAGATTTAAGAAGGGAGCTAGCAAAATCCAAATGGCCTCAGATTTTTGCAAAAATTTGGTCTTAAAGTAGGAATCTTACCTGTTTGCATTTTAGTGTTAATAAAAAAAAACAACAATATCCCCTTGCCGTAAAATGGCGTGTCTTCCTTCAAGCCGAAGACGCCATTGTCTTCCTTGACCTCGGCATTCCCTTTAGAAGAGTATCGCCCAAAGAGACCGAGCTAATTCCGGAGATCTGCAGCTGAAAACGGTAATGTGCTTACTGTTGAAGAACAACTTATACAAAATTAGTAGCATTGAAGTACCATGTTATGGAAGGTATGAATGAAGATCCTTTTGGTTGGTTATGCTGGTTCTGTGTTGGGTAGAAGCTGGTTATGCTTTCTGCTGATTCTGTGTTTCTGCTGGTTATGCTGGTTCTGTGTTGGGCAGAAGATTTACATAGGTGCAGCTGGTTGTAATTGTTACATTTATAATGCTTGAGGGTTCTGGGCAGGTGCTTAAACTAGAAAGAGCTTGGTGTAATTTGTACATTTCTATTTCATTAAGCTACTCAGTCCTCTGTTGCTATGGTTCGGGTGTGGGCAGTTTGCTATATGTTGAAGTGATTGGTTGAGGATGTTGAGCATGATAGTTACACATTGCCTGTTGTTTTGAATTCTGATACAAGTTCCCTGTAAAATAGCTCAGCTTCTTCAAGTGCTAGGCAAAGAATTTCTGTGCAGTTAATGGAATTCAGTGGAAGAATAATGTCCACTAAGACGATTCAATGCTTTGGAGAATGACAGAAAATTTTTCAATGCTTTGGACGATTCAATGCTTTGGAGAAAAATTTCAGGGGGATCCGACCTACCTTGTTGTGGAGAGCGACAGAACACTGGCAACATATGGCATCAATGCTGTCTGCACTCGCCTGTGTGGTGCCATGGAATGCTGCTAGAACAAGTTGATGGGAAGGTTGTGTTCGTTCCATGGGTTGAATTTGCTTCCATTTTAATTTGCTATTCGAATTCAGAACTCGTATGATACATGTAACTGTAATTGCATAATTCTCTGAAGCAATAAATTTGATGAAGTTTGATAGTATTTCAAGATTGAGTTACTGCTCAATTTACACAATGTTTTTCACACACAAAACTGCAGAGAATTACTTGGATATTTATACAAGAATATGAGGTCTATACTAGGGAGAAATGCTTAGATTAAGCCTTGACTGATACACGAGATTTTCTGTGATTGCAAGGCTGTCAAGGCAAATGATTTTCCTAAAATTAAGTTCCATGATCTTGGGCTTGAGTTGAGGTGTTTTCCTTTATAAAATTGATTTGCAACGGATTGTTTCAAAGATTAATTTGGTTTTTGGTGTCACACTTACCTGCTATCTAGTTTTGAATCGACCAACATTAAATTGACAGCAGATTGCAATTAAATTAGAGTTTAGTAACATCAATCCAAACTTGAATTCAATTTCAAAACTCATCATACAATCATCATAAAGCTGCCTTGACAAATGATAACTACAAACTCATCATACAATCATCAAAATACATTCCTAGTGTAGTCAATAAATTAGGGGTCAGATAGATGACTCTCATTTACCCCTCTATTCGATTCATCAACCAGAAAAACCCAAAGAAATCAACTCCTACACAACCACATCAGACCATTCAAAGCACTCAGAAACTGAACTTTATCAGCCAGCAATACACCCCACTAGTGCTTCTGCAACTAAAAATCACAAACAACCATTCTCTTGATGATAAATCCACTTCCATTGAAATTCAATCATAAAAATGTCTGATGACACGAAGGTGCACGGAAGGAGCCTACTTGCTGCCAACTAATTGATGGTGC